CAAAACATGACTTTCCGTGCACATGATCATCTATTTTATTTGATTCCTTGCAAAGCGAGCACGTTTGTCTGATTCAATCTGAATAAAATGACATGAAAACCATCTTTGCATTTTTGTTCTCCAGGGACCAGTCTGACCATATTTTCTTCGGTTGATTGCACACTTGTTGAGAAATAGATTTTAATATGAAGTGGAACTAAAAGTATATTTCTCGGTAAAAATAAATATGTATAAAGTTAAACACCTTATACTCGGCGGCACTACATTATAATATTTAGATAATATCGAGCGGTTGTCGTAGCACCTAGGAACCGCGTCGCGTCAGTGGATGACGTCAAACATTAAATACTGAATCTTATGAGCTAAAGACCCTTTTGAAACGGACCAGAACTTTGACATCCCGCCCACAGCTCGCCCACGGTGGATATTGTCGACGATATAAACATGTTAAATTAAAATAAATTGACTTTGTTTGCCATCTCGTTGGGATTCTGCTACGAGCGCATCTACTGAAAACTAAACTTTTAATCGATTGCCGTATTGGGAAACTTATTATTGAATTTTAATTATACGATGATGAGATTGCTAATGTAACGACGTTTAGATTTACTATGTGGGATGATAGCAATAGAAATCTTTTACTTAAAGTAAAGGTACTTATCGCATTTGTTAATGCCTACGGCCCTTCGAGACAAACATATTTTAGATAAATACTATTTAATGTAGAGTGATTGATAATGTTTAATCAATATTCTTTTGTAGTTAAATTATATTGACGTATTCAGAATGTCAGGTAATTTATCAAAATTCAGTTACAGCACAAACTGAACTGTTCAGCGGGAGGCGTTTGAGGGGGACGTTCAATCGAAGTATTCTACTTTGACTCTGAAATAACTTCGGTTTGTCCAGAGCTCATTTCAATATTTGCCGTGTTGTGTCAGTTAGAGATCGTCACTTCCATTAAACGGCTCTATGTAGTCCAAGTGATGGAATATATCGGTAAACAAGGATGTCCTAGATTCTCCGTTACCTAACTATGAATAGGGTAGTAAATTGATCAGGTAATTGATAAACCATTCCGATGATTCAGAGCCGTCAAGGCAAAGGTCAAGCTGGTACAGCCACCTCGGTATTTACGATCCAGTGAGTTGCCGTCTGGCTTTGTGCTCCAGCATTGTGAGCCTACCATTGTGGTCGAGCCAGCATGCGATGTCACGACAGCTCTCACAAAACAATTGTTTGTCCGTTCTCACTGCATGACAAGTGCTTTGTTGTCTTATCATTATTCGTTTTGACTGATTTCTTGGTAGCCTTAATTAATATTTTTTAAGTATCAAATGTTACTATGGAATTCAAGGTGTTATTTATTCGAACTTGTCTGAAAATCTTAAACTATATCTTTATACTATACTAGCCAGACAATTATTTGTTTTTTTTTTATAATAACTATCGTGAGACATACCAAATGAAGTAAAAAAGCTCACGCTCACTGGGTGATTGGTGGTCACAGTGAGCTGCGCGACGTCGCCGCGACCGCGCACGCTGCTCATGAGGAAGAGCCCCTCTGTGGTTCGAAACTAGAAGAGCTTTTCTCAGTATATTCACGTAAGTAACCCGCGTTTTTACATAAATTATTTGTTTTTGGAAATTTGGATTATTATAGTGACATAACTACAATAGTTGGACATATGCTACCGCGGAGTTTTTTGTAGACATTATGATGTTCTTCAATATTGTTGTACATTACTTTGTTCTATCGCTAATAGTTTCGGCAGCGCATTCGATGAAAGACATTGTTCAAATTTTACCAAGGATCCCTAACTTTTCAAAATGAAATATAGCCTATATCAAATTGGAAGAATATAGCATTCTATTGGTGAAAGAATTTTTTAAATCGGCCCAGTACTTTTTGAGCCTATTCATTACAAACATACAAAAATAGGTACAAATCTTTCCTCTTGGCAAATTCTTGTTATTCTACATCAACAAGTTAGCAACGACAGCAACATATCTAATAATGTAAAAAGACTCTGCTTAAAATTAATTATTAATTATCTCAGATTTGGCTTTTCATACAAAATATAATTTCTTGCCGAGCTCTTATTTTTCATTTTTATTTCTCTCAGACTAATTGGAATAAGGTTCGTAGCATTGCTTGAAATCTACTAACTTATTTTTTGACGTAGGTACGTTATAGGGTATAATATATTGCTCTTAAGATGAAGAAAAGCGATGACTCCTTGTCAAGTATGTGCATACCTATTTGACTTGGTACACATTAGTGTCACTTAATACTGGGGAGCTGTGGAGTGGCCCCAATGATACGGCAGTGAAGTAGTACGTGCCAAATCGACTAATAGCCAGGCTTTACATTTAATGGAAATCATGAACCTATGTTAATTAACACGCTTCAGCTTCGCAATTTGATTTCTGTCGCAAACGAGCACGAGTTATTAATTTAGATTTGTCTATCTTGTGTTGCGAAGCTGAAATTATATCTAATAACATCCGACTATTATTCTTCATTCGTAGAACAGTTGTTTGATAAATTATTGTTATAAAGTACCATTTAGGTCTAGCAAGAATTTCGCCATTTCATTTTGAAGTCTGTTAATAAACTGACTAGTCATACAGTCTTTTTTAAATGAGAGACTGCAGCCGTAAAGGCTGGTTTTTGTTTTTTTAACTGAAATTAACGTTTACCTTCATCGTTACTGCCCCAGTGACTGCGGAAAGTCACTTCCTACACAGAGCAAATCACTTTACCTTTGCACATGTTTACATTTCACATATTCGTATTCTTTTTATTATGAAACCGAGTGAGTGGGACTTACAGGAGGTTAAAGCATTGCATCGCACACGGAATGTTAACCGATGTGCATTTTTCCAACTGTTGTAATTTATTTTGATGGATACAAAGAAGAGCAGTCGTATGAATAAATCAGTACCGTACTTCGTTATTGATACCAAAACTCATATTAGTAAGTTATTAATATTTGATGTTAGGCGCCATTCTATGAATATCAAAGCCAGCGATCCGAGGATCCGTATCATACGATGTGCGGTATCACCGACGATATTATCTTAGAATATCGACATAGCTCACTATCGCAGTGCTGAATTACCACAATAAGTTACTGTAGAATATTATACAGATATTGGGTTTATGATTCCGTTGCATGTATTATGCAATTAATTAGTTACTCTAACAAACTGACCTACTTTTGTCATTAGAGAAACAGTCAATCTATCAATCAATACGTTAAGTACAAAAACGTTTATCTACCTAATGAATAAACTAATTGTGAATGGCGGCTACGTCGCGTTCGGATGTCACTAACTTCGAAGTCTAATGAAAAACGCGGTCAGCCCTGTATACCCTGCGTATAGGTACTTTGTTCGTTCATTTGTTATGCATGGCTGCGTACCAACCTTCGACCCGATCGGTTTTATTATTTATTTTAAAAGCGTTAACTGAAACAAAATTCGATTGCATCCGATTATTCGTTGGAAGCCTTTTTTGTTTGTTTTGCTACTATATCGCAATTTATTGGATCAATGATAATTATCACGAGACATTCTGTAGGTATAATACTTATCAGAGTTATTTTCAACTCAATGTCATGTTTGGTTTATTCAAAATGTTAACTTCTGAAGTAAATTGAAAGAAGATGGTTAGCCCGGGGCGACTCCTTTTAAGAAAATATGTAGTTTTTGAGAGAACATCGTGAACATCAAAGTACTAACAAAAACAAAGAACCAAGTACTGCTAATCAATACTCGAGTCTTAGACTAATTAATTTTATGAGTCGTATTTGTAATGAACTACAAGTCTCCCAATATTTACATGAAATGTAGGCCGAGGTAGTTGCCTGCGTATGTTGTAATTAAAGTTAAATTAAGGCCCTATCTTTGACGAAATGAATACAAATAATTTAGTAATTTTATTAACTTTTGTAAAAATAGTAACTAGAGAGACCTGTGCAAAGATAAAATAGTTGAATAACAGCTGCAAATTATGTTGATAGATAGTATTCCCATATTCTGTGGTTTCAATCAAGTTGAAATTGTTGTGTCACAAAGGTGACATGCCAATTCTTGTCGGAACGAATTTAGGCGACTATTATGTCCAACAGACATTGGCTATTTCCCCATTTTCTCTATTCCATCTGGCTAAAAGCAATGCTCTATTCTTGACACAAACTAGGTCATTTTTAAAGGCATGTACCTGTATTTTGGCGTTGTAAGTGTAAATTGATTTTACTTATCCATATTTTGTGACATATTTACTTACTCGTTAGCAGATACTTCACAAAAATATGACAATAAAAATATGTTTTTTGAAATTTTCATTGTATCATTTCAGAGAACATGCAATCAACTCTCAACGTCGTTCGGGCATGTAATAAAGAGGAGCGGAATTTCGTTTTATATTAAAGTAGTAGAAAGAATGAAAACGTGTGAAGTTTTTTGCTGAACATGTACCTACGAGATTTAATTACTATGCCGGGTCTCTCGCATAGACTGAGCCAAAATTACATTCCATTGACGAAGCGTCAGTCGCCCGTCAGTGTGAGCAAACTTTCAATCAAAGTAATTTTATTATACCGTAGTGCTTGAATAACAAAAATCTGATAATTAAAACTATCAATTCACTATACCAATTTGTGGGGCACGTCGAAAAAGGATTCCACTTAAATTCATGCATCGGATGATGAAAAACAAGAACCATATTCAGAATATTTATAATTCAATTTAATTTACACACAACATAAAGTGAACCTTAATTATAATAAGTCATTATTGTAAGTACAATTTCCAAATCGATGGTACGCTGCCTTTATAGAAAGTTCTGTTAGTAAGTACCAAGAATTGCAGGTAAGATATATATAGTAAATCATCTAGATATCGAATTGGTCTGAAATACCCAAAGTAATAAAATAACCACCAATTCACCGTATTGTTTGTTAATTCAAGTTCCGGCTTAGCGTGGTACTTACCATCGGTGGGGGTGGTCTGTTGGCTGGAATTGATCCGCGGTCGTTCTTCCCCAGCGGCAATGTGCTTGGCCGTCCGACGAGCGACCGGCCGCAAATCGGTCTCCACGTCACTCCCCTCCTCCTCTTCATAGCTGTATTCCATTTCTGTAATATAATGTCATGTTAATATTACCCCTTTAAAAATATTAATTAGGTACTTACAAATTATTTCAAGTTGGTTCTGTCACTAGGTACCTTAACCTTAATGTTTGTGTAATAAATTAGTTGCGTACAATATCCAAAGATCACAAATTAACTATTTATTCAATTTGGTATGTTTTTGATCTGTGTTAGAGCTAATTTTGAATTGTAGACATTTCTTTCTTTCAAAAACTGTCAGATATCCATTTTAGTATACGAATAAAAGTTATCTATTGGTGTTCATAATTCGTAATACAAATAAACTTGATCTTAGCTTAGAAGTTTGTGCGAATAATGCATTGAATATTGGTCTCTTGAACCTTTCTTGTAAACAAACCGTGTAAAGGCATTCATAGAAAACACGATATACCTATATCATCTCGATTTCAAACGTTTATACGCTTAGCATAGCATATATTTTGTGTTAAAGGCGTACCTACAAAGAGTATTCCTGGAACTACCACCTTTTGTAAAACGAAATAACAAACAACCGTAGTTTCTTGCAATCCTGGAACGCTATGTTATGGGATTGACATTCCATTTTATGGAATGGCAGTTGAATACTGGTAACTGAATGGCAATCAGAGCAATGGTAAGCCACCGTTGTTAGGCGTGTTTTAGGTTCTCCGTATTCGCCCGCATTGATTGTCATGTCAAAGACTTCTCCACAGCGCCGACGGGCCCAAGCGTGGCCCGAACTAAGCTTATTGATTGACCTGTTCATCACTATTTTCGACCGCTGCGCTCTAAATCTACAGATAGTATAAACCGTACTGGTTTACATTTTATTGATATTTTTGGAATACGCTTGCAATTTTCAACTGGACTCACCATATTAAAATTGATACCTAGATAAGTTTTTATATTACGGAATTTCGTCATTTTAAACCACGTTTTTATATGTCAATTTGACTTACTCAGTGATATAATCAATTTCTTAATGCTCGGATAATTTTATGGTTACCGTAGTGGTGAGCATAATACAACTTGTGGGTCAATGGCGAAAGGATATAATCCCGGTCGCCGTTCTCCGAAATGGATTGTAAATTGTCCACGATCGTTTTATTTTGATGGTAAAGCAGAATATACATTATGTATATGCGCCAGCTTTTAGAATAGCCGATTAATTCAGTTGGAGATCGAGATGCGTGAAGATATTTTGGGTTTCTTTGAAAACTTTTTGGCCCTTCATGACTATAGTTAGTCTAGGACACAAAATTTATGACAAAAGCCTAGGTCTACCCGACCTAAGATTTTGTCTTAAAAGCCTAGGTCTACCCGACCTAGGATTTTGTCATAAATTTTGTGTATGACAAATATTCTATATTATATAGTTTAGTCTTACACTATCGTAAAACGGCTGATGGATAACTACAGAAACGTATGTGAGCAGACGCGGTCGAGCATTGCCTTCACAATGACCTCGATCATGTGTCCTACCGACACTGCACTAGCGATTTACGATTCATGATCTTATCTTTAGTTTTAACTTCCATTCCAAGTATATGGCGTACCATATCAGTACCGTAGTACTGACACCCTATAAAATTAATATTAAACGTAACTTTCTGTTAAGTTAATGCCCATTTCTAAAGGATACCTACTGTTCCAAATGGTAGTCGCTGAAAGTTATTCTATGATTACATGCCCGTCGTTTAAAATGTAATAAGATTCGAATTAAGAAAATACGTTGAATATAGCGCAGTCAAGCTAGCTTGAAAAATACGGTTTGTCCTGTATTAATTCCCAAAATTGGTGAAAATCAGAATAAAATTGTGTTGGCGGTAGTTGGTAGAGCAATTACCAATCTAATACTATAATGTATAAAAAATATTTTATACATCGGCGTCAGAAAACGTAGGCAGTTGTATAATCAAACTATCTGCTATCAATTGGTGATACCAAGGGCAAAACCACCTGTTACATCTTTAACTTTCTCTTTCGCGTTTCTTGTTGGTACTGGAACTACAAAAATGTGACAAAGTTTCGATTTCCGCTTTAAAATACTTTGTAGCAACGCTTCTTGTTTAAGAGGCGCTGTGATAAAATTAAAGACTAAATGGTTCCCGTTTTAGAGACTGTCTGTTTTTATAAAATTGAATAATGAACTCAAGTTAAGTTTCTTATATTTTTAAACGAATGCTTTTTATTAATTTTGCTAACAGTTCTTCAGAAATAGTTAATGATACCTAGTACCTACTTAACTCGTCGAGTACCGGTTTTGTAGACACAATTATAGAACAATAGGTTGCGGTCACCGGTGACCGCTTGGTGTTTGACAGTTTAATTTAAATTCTTATTTAACTTGCAACTCGCGTTTTCTTCCTCTCCTTCTCAATCACTAACCATTGTTTATAAATAACATTATCGGCAGCTCGGTAGATCGTTTTTAAATTAATAGTGAGTTGCTAATAATTTTATGTTAAACGTGACGAAACATGATATATTAACAGGTATAATTTTGCGGTCCTATTGAAGGGTTCACTCAAATGGATTAAGTTTAAAACAGTTGCGCAGCAGCTATACAAATTGTACGTAACATTGACACGCCGCGCCGCCTGCCTCAATAAAAATGTAAGAAGCTTTCGAATCTTTAAAATGGGTAGATATAGTCTGCACCAGATATGTACCAATTTTCCAATATTTGTCATCAGGAAGGCTTAATGTCGTAAAGGCTATTGTAGACGGCATCGACTTTTCCCCCGCAATTCATTAAAGCATATCAGAGCTTCTTTTGTCGTTTAAGTACTTGATATTTTATCGATATAATCTTTAAAATGTTGAACTGCATTATTTGGTTTTGATTTTGTACTCTTATTTTTTATATACGTTGTTCAAAAATTTATTTTCATACTTTCAGGCCGTCACGTGATTTCTATTTCGATTTTTACCTGCCTTATTTTTCGTTTTTGAAATCTGCATCTCATGTTTCCGAAAATCTGCATGTGGTTCTGATGTGGTTGGAAACTAAACCGTGTTTAAAATTTTCAGACACCGCTGCCTGCGTGTGTGGGGAGTTGTTTGTGTAAATATTAGACATACGAGTTTTCCACATCCTTTATTCATTGTTGACATAATCTATTTTCTTCTATATGACTAGCGACCCGACCTAGCCTCGCACGGTTTGTATTTGCCGACTTTCCCGTGAACATTTTATTCTTTTTCTTTTATACATATACATAAACGTTGTCGTCACAATAAAGATTACTGCAACAGATTTATTCCTTTTCTTTTCATTTTGTTGTTGTTGAAAATTATATTTATGTTGTCTCGTAACTTATGTTATGCTGGTTTGGACATGTAGAAAGGATGGATGAAAGTAGAGTAACGAAAGAAGTATACAGAGCGATATATTAAAGAAGGGCCAAATTAAAAGTACCCTTAACCGACGAGCATGCATTAAAAGATTGATGACTGTTGATAAAGCGAAAGAGGTACGTAGGAATTGTAGTAATTGGCGTTCCATAGTCTCTGCCTACCCCCATGGGAAACAGGCGTGAAGTTATATATGTATGTATGTATTCTGGTAATTAATACCAACCTACCAAAAGGTACTGACAAAAGTTTACTTAATCTGCACTTGCCTTACGAAATCAATTTCTACCATTTACTTTATCTTCGAACAACGTTACTTACGGTTTAATTGGATCACAATTTTTATTTATATATGAACATGAACCTAATCCTATCCATGCCTAGTCAACAATTTTTAATTTAAGTTAAAAGAGAATATTCCTGTTCCCTTCGTTTTCGTTTTAAGGATTGTAATAAAATTTTCAATAAAATCTCTTTGCTTTGTGATTAAGAAGCGATCTCCCATGCGTTTATAACCGGTAGCTATAAGATTGGCAAGTCTAGTTTTATTGTGTACCTATGTATTTATTTATTTCAATAAACTTTTTTTTTTTTTTTTTTTTTTAAAAAACGTTGCCCCACACTAGGATTTTCTTCCTGTGTCGTGGGTGCGTTTACAAACATACAAGTTCACATACACAATGACACCCAGACCCGAAACAACACTTTGTGGATCACACAAAGTGTTGTCCCGTGCGGGAATCGAACCCGCGACACGTTGCACGGCAGCCGGTTGCCCAGCCACCGCACCAACCGTGCAGTCAAAATAAACAAACTCATAAAACTATCATAGATGGCACTCATAGCATATATAGTAGAAAGTAAATGTTTCATTCGTATGCATCATTTTAGAATAGGCAATAACAATAAATCTGTAGAATACTACGAGTATTCCAATAAGATAATATAGAAATATGAATATTGTAGAAAATATTATTGCATCTTGACAATATCATAGGCGGAGACATAAGTGAGATCTTATTGTACTGAATGTTGAAGACGACATATCATGTAGCTATTCTTAGAATATTTTTACTTAATACAAGATTTGTGATATAGTACCTACCTACGTAGAAAACCTTTGTGTTTGCATGAAATTATTGAAATATTGTTTATTTCAATTCCTTACAAAAAAAGTGTCTCTTCATCTTCTGATGTCTTATTCATTTTATGGAAATATAATTTACTGTTGATCAAGGAAACCTGTGATTCTATTCCGTGATCTGATCTTATCAAATTTACACATGGGACTCTCAAAAGAAAATTACCTGTTTGAAGGTTCGTGCTGAAACGAAATAATTTCAATGGTTATCAATTTTTGACGCTCCATTAGCCCATTACGTACTAGTATACCATTATTCGCGAACTAATGTATATAATTCATGATATCCGTTACTCAATTTACTTTCAGTCATAAGGCGAGGGTGGGACGGGCGGAATTGGGGTGGCCAAGCGACGAAAATCGATCATGATTCTCGAACACCAACTCCGCTTATGGTTCGAAAAAAGAGACATTGTAGATCCCTGTTACCACCTCGAGTACAGATTGAATTTCTGACATATCTTTGTGTGGTGGTTGGTGTCGTGATTTTTTAACATTGTTTTGGTAA